TTAAGTGGGAGAACTTGCACAATTGGTGGCTGACTAAATACTTTTTTGTCCCACTGTACTTTTCTCCTTCTTTAAATATCATGCTTGTGGATTGCTTCACAAGCAGGTCAATACTGAGGATCATTCAATTTCCTTCCCTCAATACTTATTCCTCCACTATCACCACCACTGTAGGAGGAGACCTGTATTAGTCTATGGTAGCAAAAATGAGGTCTCTGTTACATCCTTTTCCGACTAACACATTTTATTAAAAGATATAAGCTTTCATGAGCTGCAGTTCACAATAGCTTATCCCTTTTAATAAAATGTGTTTTGTTAATCAGAAAAGGGGCTAACAGACCCCTTCTCATTTTTTGTTACCATCACCATAAAAGGTGCTTGTTCCTCCCTGTGCTCTACTTCCAGAATTTGATCCTTGCAGGGAAAAACCCAAATGAGTCACCAATGCCAGCAAACCCCTCGCTCGGCAAGAATGGCTCACCCGCTTGCGATGCATCGTGTCCAGAAACAGTTTGCACTGTTTGTAGATCTCCTGGCCAGGCTTATTGTAGGGCTTGAGAAACTCAATGAAGTCCTTGGATACTCTATCCGTTTCAATGCTGACTTGCCTACTGATAGAAGGACTAGGAGCCTTGGCTTCTGGAACTTCTATGAAAAGAGGGAATAGCACAACAGTTACAAATAAAAATTACTCATTTTTTGGTCAGATGTATATTATGAGCTACAGAGGAAAAGGGGAAGCTATTTAATGGTAGAAAAAACACCCTACATGCAAAAAATGAAGGCTTATTTCCTAGCACTTGCAAGCTAAACTAGAATTGCAGGTACAGTATAAGACTTTCTCAGATGGAAACTGCAACCTCAGATGTCCTCTGCATGACAGACACAATTTATCAAGAGTCAATTTCCTCCAGGATATCGATGTTTAACTAGACCTTGTGCCTATGTCCTACCTTCTAGAAAAGTGGCTGGTAAAGCAATTAACTAACACATACTACTTATCAACCCCATTCTAAGAGGCAATATATGTAAGCTGCAACTCTTCCGTGTTATCACTGTGGCAAATCGTATCAAGTGTTTACAGAAGTAACATAAGGGACTCCATTAATCTTCTATAACTTGTAGCATTTTCTGGAAACACTGCTTCTATCTCTGCTCAAGCTGTCATAACTTTAAAAGCTACAGTTATAGGATGTGTTTTTACACCTTCTGTTTCCAACTAGGCACTTTATCTTGCTAGTTCTGTCATTTAATCGAAATGGGGCTAGAATCTTGTTAATGGGATGAAAGTTAGAACAGGGACAAGCAGCTTTTGGGGGCTAGCACACATCTTTAGAATTTTTATAGCAAATTATGGGCGCTCTCACAAAGCTGGCTATTGTAAAGGAATAGCCTAAACACAAAACATACAGAAAAGTAACTGAGTAAGGCTTTTCCCTGCTGTACTTCTCTTTTTTTTTTTCCTGGAAAGGCAGCCATACTTCCAGATAAAGCATTGAGTTGTACTCACCCAACATTGCTATTTTGTAAGAATATCTATAAGGCTTGTGTGGGGAATGCTTACAAATAAAGGGATTCTAGTAAATAAAAGCAATGTTAAAGGCTTGTGCTGTGCTTTGAAAAATGGCACTTTCTCATTTAATTTTTATTTATTTAAAACAAAGATATAATTTCAAAAGAATATTTGAATATCTTGTGTAGTAACAGATATAATATCTCGACAGGAAACAATGAAGAAATATATCAGAAGAACTATGTTAAATTATGGCAAGAGATTAAAAGAGACCTTGAAAGGTAGAATAACCTAAAGCTATCTTTTTGTTGTTGTTGTTCAGTCGTTAAGTCATGTCAGACTCTTCATGATCCCATAAACCATATCACACCAGGCCTTCCAGGCCTTCACTGCCTCCTGGAGTTTGCTCATTTTCATGTTCATTGCTTTGGTGATGCTATCTAACCATCTCATCCTCTGCTGTCCCCTTCTCCTTTTCCCCTCCATTTTTCCCAGCATCAGGGTCTTCTCCCAAGAGGCCCCTCCTTGCCTTTGGTGGCCCAAATAACTGTGCTTTTGCTTCAATATCA